ATGTAATTAACTCATATCTGAACTTTGTTTAATGAACTTTAAGTAAGAAGGGTAATTTGAGGTCCTATCAGGCTGTGTGTAGAATGTGTTTAACTTGAATTTTTTAAGTTGCTTATGTGTAATAAACTGAATTAATATAGAGCATGAATTAAAATGTTTGCACATGATTATTAATGCATTTTAGAGTTTAAAAAATATTGGTTAAATATTCGTAGTTCAAGTTGATAGTTAATAAAAAGCACTTGTCTATTCTGCAAGATTTATTCAGTGATGTAAGTCAACAGCATTTTCCACAGTGAATATAAATCAGTGGTATTATTGTCAGCAAGAAGTTGGCATCTAGTGGCATTAAGTGATGGCTTAATCATAGTAGAGAAGGCTTTTTTATTTTTTATTTTTTTTTTTTTTGGAAGATGACTTGAGTGTCTTTCATTGTGATGACGATTTATAAAGGTAGCTCTACTACCTTCCTTAGCATGCAGCCTGGGTCTTAGGCTTTGTAGTACTTAGTAGGCTAGGGATATGAATTTGGTAATAGAATATATAGAGTTAGAGAAGATTTCAGATGGTTGAAATGGCGCTGAATAATCTGTACCAGCGTTTAAAACAAACGTTTTTAGTTGCACAAACAGTATACTTGCTGATGTTATGCAGTCACTTTTTAGTTAGTGTTCTTTTGGTCTTTGTTATAATGGATATATTGCTGTAGAAATCAATTGCATCCATACTTTAAGACTGTTAGCTTCTCTTTTTGTGAAAAAGGTTACACTGACAAACCCTGTAGCTTTCTTCTGATTATTTTTTATTTCAAATACGTAAGTGGTGCTTTTCCTGCAGAACGATGAACCTTATCTGTGCTAACACTGAAGTAGCAAATGTAAGCTGTGATGTTCAGTCAGAAACATGACCTGAATGCATGCATACGTTACTGAACGATCATTAATCTGACTTGTTCATTCCCCAACGTTTGAGTTGAAAAATATTAAAAACATAGGCAAGTTTTAACAGTTGTACAGCTTGCACCACTTTTTAATGATCTTCAACTTCACTACTACTGGTATCAGACATGGTTTGAATTTGAGGTTATGAATGCTGTTACTTGTTGCATTTGGGCCTTCAGTGCACTGCAGGCTTTGCTAAGAGATATTGGCTGTGTCCATATGCTTGGTCACCATCTTCTAGATTCCCTCCTGGAAAGCCAGCATTTATTAGGTTTCTTCTCATGCAGTGTTCTTCTTTAAGTAGCATGTAAGAACTGAAAATAATTTGGGACGTTATTTTTAAGTGTAAGGCTTTTTTTGTGCCTGAAGATGTCTTTAAGACAATTATATATAGCATGCCTACACTTCAAGGTCTTCAAAGTTTGCGCAAGTAAGTTTTATGAAAAACAAACTATGATGGACTTCATTGCAGAGGCTTTATAGGTTCTTTTGGGAAAAAAAAGGGTTTTCACTTCCTTTACTGCTTGTTTTTCTCCCGTGGTATTGTAATCTCGACTTTTTTACTTGATGTTTTAACTCAGAGAAATGCTAGTAATGTCGTTTCTAACTCATCTGTCAGTTTAGTTTTGTATTCCATATAATGTAGAAGGTTTTCTTTCTCCATAGCAAACAATCTGCTATTGTGTGAACTTGTAATATCAGCACGCTTCTACCTCCCTTCTCCATGGTGTATTGAGACAAATGTACAAGAACTCAGAAATAGCTTGGACGAGCCGTTGTTTGGCAGTTTTAAGTCTCTTAGTGCTTTTGTTTTTTGAAAGCTGTTTTTCTCCCCTTACTCCATAGAAAAAAGGCAATCTGCAGATTTTCAACTATGCCCTACGTTGTCAGTCACTACTTCAGTAAGATAGAAGCTGAACTGATGTAATATGGAGTACTATGTTCTTTGCTTGAATGTGTGGTTAATGGACACATGCTCATGTGTTCTGGAATGGCTTTAATTTCAGTTACAGGCATGAACTTTACAGAATTTGGGCTGTCTTTGCTTGTCTGATTTGACACTCAAGCTAATTACAGTTGATGGAATTCCTGTTACTCGGAATTACAACAGAATCCTGGTTTAAAAAAAAAAAGCTTGGCCTATCTTTTTGACAAAGTAAGTAAGAGGATGGGGTTTCAGCTGCTTCAGCTGTTCTACTATAGCAGTATTGCTAAAATAGTTCAGTTACATTTATGAATCGTTTTATTTTGTCCTCAGATCGGTGTTCTAAAAAAAAAAAAAAGCCTAATTCTTTTCTATAGACTTAGCACAGATTCTTAGAAAAAGAAAAACTAATCAACAGCTAGCCCAAGTGAGCTCACATTGTACTTGTGTATTATGTAAATCAAGAGAGTAATGTGGAGTCTGAACAAAGCTGATCTCTATCAGAGATGTGTAACAGATCCCTTGATTGCAATTTTGTTGTTTCATTCACGAATAAATTTCTAACTAGATTTTTGTGTGCCACAGTATAGCTCATCTAAATGACTAGAAGTCAGTTACAGTAGTAATTTTGAAGTACTTTTTCTGCAGTGTTGTGTCAGGATGTGGAACTATTTGACAGCCATATGTGCTTGATCCTGTGGCAGCCTTATGCTTTTATTTATTTTCCTTTCTCTCTTGTGTTCTTTCACATATGTAGAAGTAGTGACTGCACATCTCAACGTGGTTGCATGCTTGGTTGTGCATCTTGCAGTGTACAAATTCATTTCAAATTGCGGAGCTGCTGCTCTCCAGCTTGCATTGGTGTAGAGCGTGGAGTAATTACTCCCTTAAGAGAGGCTCTTGTGCTCTGGTATCTGCCATTCCAAATTGCAGAAGAGTCGAAATACTCTGAACCTTCCTCTCGTGTTTGTAGCATTGGTTGTATGTCAACTGAGCCATTGGTCCTCTCCTGCATTGTGAGACAAGCATTGGTAATTGAATTAGTGTTATTAATTAGATAGCTGTTCTGTCTAGCTGTGTGCTGTTTTCATTATATGTATGCTTTCTTTTACAAACGTGAAGATGAAGCCTTTAAGCTGTAGCAAACAGAGCAAACTAGAGGATGACTGTTTTCTTATTCCTGGCTTTTTTGTGTGCCTGACTACCTGACAGCCATGCACCAGGAAGTTAATTCTCCTTATGGAGTGGCAGGCTTCCATTTTCTGCCCACCTGTGGTTTGGAAGAAATGTTAAGTCTAGAGAGATGTCACATTTGCATGTTTTGTCTATACAGCTTGAATATCAACAGAAGGTGATTAATCTTCCTCTGCTCTGTCTTCACGAGATCCCATCTGGAGTATTTAGTCCAAGCCTGGGGCCTCCAACACAAGAAATATGTGGAGCTGTTGGAGTGGGTCCAGAGTATGTGAAAAACATGATCAAGAGGGCTGCAGCACCTCTCCTGTGACGAAAAGTTGAGGGAGCATGACTGGTTCAGCCTGGAGAAGAGGAGGCTCTGGAGAGACCTCATTGTGGCCTCCTAGTACCTAAAGGAATCTTATAACCAGGAGAAGAATTAACTTCTTGTATGGTCTGACAGTGATAGGACAAAGGAGGATGGTTTCAAATCAGAATAGGGGAGACTGAGGTTAGATATCAGGAGAAAATTTTTCACTCCGAGGGTGGTAAGGAACTGTTTCTGTTTCTCTGGCTGCCTAGAGAAACTGTGGATTCTCTGTCTCTGCAGGCACTGAAGGCTGGGTTGGATGGGATTTTGGGCAGCCTGATGCAGTGGCTGGCAATGCTGCGCACAGTGAGAGGGTTGGAGATACATGAGCTTCAGGGTCTCTTCCAATGCTAGCCATTCTGTGGTTGTCTAAGATCATTGGCTATGTTTCCTGTTACTCGTGATTCAAAACTGTCTACATTGAGTATGAGAACTGAATTAAATTTTTTCCCACTTCTTTTGTTCTCGAAAGATGATCAGTGCCACGAAGGCCATGGTAGTGTTAGGTCAGGAGAACTATTTTAGTTTTTTTCACGAAAAACTAGAATCAAGCCATCTATTTTAAAAATGAGTGGGAAGCTGTAAGTAAAAACAAACAGAGAAAATCGAATCTGTTTCAGGCCAAATAATACAGTATAGCTGTAGCAAGTAAGTAGCAAGCTCATATGAGACACAAATGCTATAAACAGTTTTACAATGTCATATACCACATAAAATATATGGAACCTAAAGTTCCTTCCTCTGGTGGAATTTTTAAATGCTAAGGGCACTTGGAGTGAAGAAGTATTTAAGAAAGCAATGTTAAAAGGATAGTTTACTTTAGTCCCTGTGGAATCTCGCTGAAGTATGCGGATGAACCTCTCTGACAAGTTGGATCCTGCGGTGAGGAAATGTATGCATGCACACAGCAGTGATTATTAGATGTGAAGGAGGAAAAAAAAATGGGTAAGAAGAGTTCTAAAGAAAAAAGATAAATTCTACAGGTGTGATTGATTACCTTGCTGCACCTGAAAATTGAGTCACACTTAGTAAAGTAAAACGTAGAGGCTTCATCTCCGCGTAGCGCTCCAGAAAATGATAGTGGTAAGTCGGATCATATTGCACTCTGCCGTAAGTCCATATCACTTAATGCTACTTGAATTGCATAGCTGGAGACAACATCTGAAGCTTCAATTTATGATAAAGAAATGCTTTTAAAATGAAAATTAAATAGAAATGGCGAGATTACACGTTTTGTTCAGTGGGAAATACTCTACTGTATTTTCATTCAGCAATATGGAAGGTGGAATGAGATGGACTTACCTGATTCGCTTAAAAATGAAGTGGTACCCAAAACTGTACTATGAAAAAGCTCTCAAGTTATTTTTTTCTTAGTTTCATTTGTGGCCTTTTCAAACAGTTCATTCCCATTGAGCTGAAGTAGAGCAGCACGTAATGGTAATTAAAGAATGCCTTTATCCATCTGCTTACTGACTATTATGCTTGGTGTCTTTCTGGCTACGTACTGTGCTGGCTGGGAACAGTCAAACAGAAGGACTTCCCTGTCAGGTTTCAGATCCTAATGTTTTGTTTTGTTTATGTCTCACAGAGTTCTGAAGCCTTCAAAGTGGTAATCCTGGAGTGGTGCCGGGTTCTGGAGTCCAGGAGTAAAGCAGATGTTTCAATAATTCTCGGTAAGTAAGACGCAGCTCAGTATGTTCAGTGTCAATTTGTTATTTCAGTCAACAAAAAACTAAAAATGCAGTCACCTGTGCACTGGAACTTGGCCTTAAACTTAGCTACAATGTGTTCTTTTGTTAGTGATGCACACATCTAAATGTTGCTCTCTTAATTAATGCTAACAAATAGACCCTAAAATCCATAGGTGTTACTTTTTCTAAAATAAAAAATTGTCTTTCTCTGGCAATGAGTTTGATCCTCAGGCTTAGCTTTTCCTTGTCTCCTATCAACTTTCCATTCACTGGATTAGTTTTTTGATTGTTTGTTTAAAAAAAGAAAACAAAAGGAAAGAGAAGAAAGAAGGATTTCATAGAAATTAGAACCACTATTTTAGGGCAAAGACTTTAATTTGGGAAAATGCTGTTGTAGGTGTTTCTCTGCAAGAGAAACTCAACCATTCTGTTATTTTATTTACGGACTGGACTCATTCACTTACTCTTGAAGAGTTTTGAATTATTTTAGTTGGCCGTTTTCTGTTTTAATGGTCTGAGAGGTTTAGAAAGCAATTCTGACTATCTCATTTTGAGAGAATGATAATTTTGTGATGTATTTTTATTCTGTCCAGTATGCTCCCTGAGTATTGTTAATTTTTAGACAAGCAGTAAAATGACAGACTAAGGGACAAATTAGGTTTCATGTTTGGAGTGTCTTGCTTCAAAGTATAGAACATAAATTGCATACATGGAACTGAAAAATGCATTGCATTTAAAAATCTGTGGGACATCTGTCAAAGTATGATCATCCTAAGTACATGCTGTAGTTGAGAGCTGGATGGTTCTATTCTATGGGGTAGGGTCATGCTAGCCTGAGAGCAGTGCTGACGGGTTAGTGAAACTGGCCATAGGGGAAAAAAGCTTATGCTGCGTTTGTGGACCTGATGGACTGCTTTTAGTAGATATCCTTACCTTCTGTTTTTGTAAGCACCAGAATTTGCAGCTCACTAAAACAAAAATGTTTTATTAAGTTAACTTCTGTCCTTGCTTCCTTGAAGTGATTGATGGTGTTTGGTTGCATTTGAGAAGGCTGAGACGTAAAAATGCATTCATTGTGGAGTTTGTCCTTTTCTGAGTAGAATTCAGAGAAATAGATCCAGTCCTGCGTTAAATGGAATTAAATCTTACACCTTGTGCTTAATGTTGAGATGCTGCCTTAAACAGGAGTTCGTGGTTTTCAAAGCATTGCTTTGTATAAGTATAATAGCTGAACAATCACCACTGACTCTCAAATTTAGGCTTCTGTAATTATGCCTTTATTGATTCTACTTCATTAATTGGAATCATTGGCTTTATGAGGTGGTGATGTTAAGATTGGATATAAATACAGTCATTCCAGTTCCCTCCTGGCACTTGCATAATGCTGGAACATAACGCTGCTACAGCAAGAACTCGGTTGTAATTACTGCCACGATTTTTTCCGTTGGCTTTGAAGCCTGCAAACAGGACAGCTTCTGTGACAGTGGGGTTGGCAGATTTTCAGTCCAAAGACTGGGGAATCAGACAACAGGGAGTACTGAGTAAGCACTTCAGGCTGCCTGTGGATAAAAAGAGATTGGCAGTTTCTATGGAAAAAGAGAAGTACTCTCATAGTTAGGAACAGTAGTTGTTACTTGAGGGGCAAACCTTCTGAAAGACTGAGTTTGAAGGTTAGTGGTGTAGGTAAAAGTTAGGGTGAGGTGTCTGAAAGGTCTTTAAAGAATGTGTTGAAAGAAAAGAACAGGAAACTTGGAGTATGCAGAGCCATCAAGGGATGATGAATACCTGGAAAGTGAGCAAAGGAATACCGCTGAAGACAGAGGAAGAGACAGACAGGTGGAGTAGAAATGCATTTCTAACTTGGCAGTTTTCCTGTGCTGGAGAATAAGGGCAAAAGTGGCAAATGATTTATTGGATGGAAAAGAGGATGCAGGCTAGAACACTGTGAGATATTAAACCAAAAGTGAAGAGGAATGAGGATAGCAGACTATACTGAGTAAGGGTAAACACCAAACGAAGCGAAAAAATAGTCAGTGTACTCTAGGAAAAAAAAGAATCCAGATGACAAAAGAGATGGAGGGGAAAAAAAAAAAGAGGACTTGGAGAATGAAATTCTTTGTCAGTGGGGGCTTTTCTCATGAATGACTAGTTCCATTATCACTAGATGGTCATTGGGATATCCACTGTATATTGGGTGCCAAAAGAGAAAGGGAAAAGGAAAAGGCTCTAAGATGTGTATGGAAGGCATTACTATGTTTGAGTGAAAGCAGGATAGAGGTGTACCTGTTCACAAATGTCTCTTGGGCAACTACATCACAACACAACTGATTCATGAACTTTCACTTGTGAAAGAGACAGATGGCAAGGTAAAGAGAATCAGGAAGTGGTTCACATTCAGGCTTGGAACTGTCAGGAGAACTTTGGAATGAGCTTATGGCTGATCATCTCTCCCTTTCTTTGAGCAGTGGGCTGAATCTTCACTGGATAGTGAGAAATTGGGACTGAATAGTGTACTTAAGAGGGGAAGGTAATCTAGGACAGTGGAATAAACATGGAAAGTAAAATAAATAGATTGTTGCGCAGTACTGGCTATGTTATGGAGCTGATTGCCTCACTGTTATGGACACTGGAATTTAAGTGGAATGCAGAAAGATCAGGTGATTGTAGTGGATAGATCTGTAAGTGCTTTAAGCATATTCTTTCAAAACTAACTCAAAGCATTTCAAAGCAAAAGGAAACAAAGATTGTTAAGGGTGAAACATTATTCTGGTTTCTTGTGTGCCCTTGTGATAGTATCTAGGTGCTAACAGGGCACTGGTGTGAGATGGATCTGATTGAATGCTTTTAGGACTGTTCGTGCAAATATGATTCAGTCCTGAAATCCTGAGTGGTGAGTATTTCAGCTACTCTGTCTGAAAAGATCTTAAACATGCAAACTAATCTCCATGTGGTGTTGTACAACAGAAGATTTGAGAATGAAACCAGAAGACACAGGCACAGGGAATTTTCATGTGAGAGATGTGTTCAGGGACTTCGTTCTCTTGATTTGTGTATCTTCTTGGTTTTTGAGGATTGCATTACTTGGATTATTGTGGTTTCTCAGTAAGAAGTAAGAAACTGAGAACTGTGACACCCAGGTAGGGCTAGTGAGACGTGGGGAAGGGTGAGGGAAGACTGGGAGACTACACTGTTTCTGATGCAATATTATAGTTGACTGGCACATCTTGCAGAGTGTCAAGCAAAAGGTCTGCATGTAGAAATACCCCTAAAATGGCAAGGATTCCCTTTTCCATTAGCAAGTAGTATATAAGCCACATGGAATGTTTTATTTCCTTAAATGCTGGAGGTCTGGGAAGGCAGGTCAGTATTGCTTCATTCTTTTGAGATGGACTAACAGCCATACAGTAAGTTTACTGTTCCAGAATTGAGTAGAAGATTGAGATCTCGGAATCTTGCCTCATCTGAAGTAGAGTGATGGTTCAGCCGGGGGTGTGATAGACTTCCTTTTTGCAAAGGCAGCCCACTTAGGTGCGAAGGCTCTATTTAGCTGTCAATGAAAGCTGCATTACTTTTATTGAGTGAATATTCACTGTGGTGCTTCTGTGGTCTGCACAGGCGTGCTGTTTAGGCAATGAAAGGGCAGGGCATGTGTTAAATCCTGCTGGTATTACAAGAAACAAATGATTATAGTGCAGTAGACAACGTGGAGAAACAAAGTTTTGTATGGTGCCATATTTATTTCAAATACTTCAGTCTTTTTTGTGAGCTTCTGTGGGAGTTAATTGCAGATGACAATGGTAATTCCCAAAAGTTAATTTCAGAATTGCAAAATAAAATAAATAAAAGAAAAACAAAAGCTCAGCCATGAAAGATAAAATTCTTAATTAAATTCCTTATTTTTTGATAGAGAATTTAACGTTCAGAGGAAGATTAGCATAGCATCATGAGTAACCACGGGATGATTTCATCAATACTAATTTGAACATGAAATGCATCAGCATACAGGATTTAGTCAGCTTTGTGAATTAAATGCTTCTGATGTCTGTATTAGAAATATCCTGCAGATATAATTTAGGTATCAAAGCTTTGTTCTGCTTTTATTACAGCATATGCTGGTTAGCTGTGACAGTGCTTTGTATTTTAGAGTGACAGTAGTTCATTGATATAGACAACCATTTCTCAGTGCTGAGAATACCCATTTTGCTAGTGCGGGTGAGCAGGGAGAGAGACCTTTTCACCTTTGTAAATGTTCCACGTATGCATATTGACATAGAATGGGGAAACATTTACCATCTGGAAAAGGAGGGGCTGTCGTCATGGTCACTCGTCAGATGATTTGTACATGGTTTAATTCAAATACTGACAGTAATTAATTTTGTTCTGTTAAACATGAATTTTATAACTCTCCTTAATCAATTTCTATCAGTATTCCTGATACTTCTACGTATTTGGTAGAGTAGAGCAACAGAGCCTTTTTAAGGAAAAAACTCTGAAAATTAATACCGAATCAAAGAAGTTTTAGCAAACAGCATTTCCCCCTTAATGTACTCTACTTTATTTTTAAAAGATTTTTTAGAAGTCTTATTAAACTACAGTCTTTAGCAAGGCAAGGGTCAATGCCCAGTAACTGCATATCTTTTTGGGGGTTTCAATTACTTCAATTTTCCTCGAAACCTAGGTACCGATTAAGAGTTTTGATTAAAATACAGTACGTATGAAAAAGCATTAAGACACTTCTCACAAGATATTTTTTTTTACCAAGTATTTGCAGAAGAAGGAGGCAGTTGCTACTGTTAAACTGAAAGTTTGGGGAAAATTGAGCTTAATTACAATGTGAACGTAATAAATTATTTTAGGATGATGAAGCTAATACCGAAATACATTTCTGACTTGAGAGAGTCAAGTAAGAGTAGAAAAGACTTCTCAGTACTTGGGGGATATTTCAGCTTTTCTGTGTTATTTTGTTATTTGACAGAAGTTCTTTTTCAGCAGAGAGGTTGAATTCTTCATTAGAACTGCAGAAGTCCTAAGGGATCATAACTTTATATACTGGCTTCAGTTGCAGAAGCTCTGCTGAGGTCAAGCTTCAGGAAGAGTTACTGGTGCACAGTCTATATCAGAAAAGGCTGTCAAGGCTGTCTTAACAGACTTACCCTCCTCTCCCATCTGCTTCCTGACCCTAACAGGAGTCTCTGTTAATGAAATAAGGAACAGAAGCAGTGTAGCCGCAGGACTGGATTGGCTTTCTGTAAAATCAGTGTCTCTATTTATGTCCACTCTGAGTATCAAGGAACAGGAAATAAAGAGAACTTTGAAGGTACTTACCCAGTGTGAAAGATGGGAAGTTTCTGGACTACAAAACTTTGCTTAATAACGTGTCAAGCAAAACATTGCTGGCTAAGTGAATGTGTGTTTGTGTAGTCCTAAGTGCTACCTCCACCTGTCGCTGAGCAAACAGAGCCCTGCTACAGAACCTGGTCATGTAGGTGTCACAAATGGCACCTTGGTTATTGGCATGCTTTCAATGTCTTATACAAATACCAGTGCTAATGCTGGGCATCAGTGCCGGGCACTAGAATTAGTGATGCTTCCTCCTGCCCTTCCCATGTCCTATGAGAGTGGTTAGCTGATTTTTGACTGACCAGCTCGATTTGATAGGGTAGAAATGTGAAAAGAAACAGTTGGATATCCAGTTACTTTTTGCAGCTGTGGTCTAGAGGTTAATGGGAAGTATGAAGAATCTGTCTGACTTGACATTGTTCCAGATTTATTCTTGTGTTAATATAGTATACTTGCAATTATCTTGCATTTATGCACTCTGCTAGTTTCTGTGAAACAAATGAGATATCCTGGGAAAAACTGAGGACAAAGCTTTGTATAGTGCCAATTTATAAAGGGATTTCAATTAGCAATGTGGAATTTCACCATCAATATGCATGCTGTCAGATTTCTGTGGGTTAGGTCAGCGTCTCAGTGTCTGAGACAGAATGACTGAATCGCAGGTGATTTATTTTGAGTTTATGCAAGCCATCAAAAGATGCTGTGTTGGATCCTGTAGTTCTGTAGACCTTTCTTTGATCAAGAAGAAAAATGCAAAGGTAGATACACATACAGTTTTCGTTTGAACTGTGGACTGTGAAGCGCTTGTTCTGAAGGGTTACTCTTGTGTTTCACCAAAAGAAAAGAAGGTGTTCTGAAAGAGAACCATTGTGTTCATGTGCAAATGAAAATTTTTCTTGGATTTATGCCGCTGAACTGAAAAAAAATCTCAGATGTCCAGCACTGAGACGAAAATAACCATTCTGCTACTGGAGATTCCCAAGTGAATGCAGAATACTGATAGCGGTATTGTCTCCTGAAATCTTGTATTCAAAACTTAAGTCTTAAGAATAGAAGTAGAACATGTGCCAGATAGAGAACTGGCTTCATTGAAGTCAACAGTAGATATTTTCAAAAACTTTTTTTTCAGAAGTAACTTATGTCAACAATAACAAAGCACAATATGAGATTCTTTTGTTTTTTTCTATAGAAACACTGTAGTTGCAAGTACCAAAGCTTAGTTTTTCTTTTGCACACCAATGAAATCCTCTGGTAGGATGTCTGAGTACAAATATGATTCTATCAATATGTCTACTACCTCCTTGAGTCCTTCATTAGATGTGAAGGTATGTCAATATACAGTTCATTTTTCAGGAATGCTCCCTGCAGCTGTTTTGCTTTCCTTCTGTGACCTGACTTTGGGTATCTGAGCAAAAATTCTTTATGTCAAATTTAAAATAACAGTCAAAATGATTTGTTATGAGTAAACCTATTCTCCTTATTGCCAGAGACATTTTTTGCCAACGTACATTGAGAAAACGATGAAGACAGTGTCTGTATTCCTCTGCGTGAACTGCTTCTTACCAGCTGTATGTTCTGCAGAATGAAACTTCCTATGTTGGCAGAGATAAATATTTTTGGAGTAGTTTAATACACTTTTTCAGAACTGAACTTAGTTCTGAGTATTCCAGAGACCTAAATATAGCAAACTGTAGTGTTTTGAAGTGATTAGCTTGAAATGGATTTCCAGATCTCAAAACGAGCACCTGTTAGGTCAGAATGTGCTGAATTATGTCCATTTCTCCTGCTTTTCACTATCAATTTCTGGTTACATGCATATTAAGCATGAATCAGCATGCCTTTTGTGTTTGGCAGTCTGATTTCCACTGCTGAGAGACTAGTATAAATAGAATGATTTCAATTGCAAAGCATTGATTTCCCCCTGGAGCAGATGTTTTTATTTAGCTAGTGGCAGAATGTTTTGAGGCAAATCACTGTTCCTGTTTACGTTTGAAAATAAAGAGCAGAGAGAAAAGAACACCTTGCAGTATTTGAATTTTGGTTGTAAAGCATTTGCTTGACTGTTTTAGCTGAGGCATGTTGGATATCCAAACCACTTCTATTAATGAGTGCCTGGGATTATAAAGGCTGAGGGGTACAGACGGGTATTTTGTCTGCCTGGAAATACCTTGTTTAATTAAAATGACTGCTGGTGAATTTTGATTAGGAAGTCTCAGATAACTTAGCAAATCACATACGACATTATAGATGAAATTTCTGTGTCTAAGCTCATCTTTCATAAACAGTAAGCATTTTGTTCAGGTTGGGTCACTCAAGGCAAGTAGATTTTGTGGGTAAGAAGAACATCTGCATTTTCCCCAGATTGTGAATATTCTTGTCACAAGAGCTAAATACATTGTTTCACAGACTTTCTGGTGCTAGAGGCAAGATTTTGAGCTCTTATTAGCTCTTCTTAAATTACCCAGGAAAGCAGAAGGGTGTTACACCAGTTCTTCCTCCTCTTCCCTCTTGTTCCTTGTGAGTTCTTTAGTCCTACTGGTCTAGAATTCTTATCAGCAGCTGCAGCCACACATTGTACACTTCCTTAGATCCACTACCAGACAAAAATACTTGTTCCACCTCTGCTGGGATTTGTGCCAACACCATTTTAAAAGACTTGCAGACTTGAGGTTTGCGTCTTCTGTCCTCCATAACAATAAAAGCTAAGTTAATTGTAAGTGACAGATGCTCGGTTTATGAAGTGCAAATAGGTTTAGAATAACATATGTGGGTAAGTGCCCAAGGTTAGATGCTCAAGTTAGGAAAGGAGAAACAAGTTCACTTTGTACATAGGAAAGTTCTGTATGTTTGGTTTTGAGCTAGTTATGAAAGCACGCGAATGTTCTGTTTCTTCCAGCAGTATTACCTACGGTACATACAGGTCAGAATGACTTTTACTGAATTATTAAGTCCTAATTAATATGGTAACACAGATACTTGATAGAGTTCTGTTTTAGGGTCAGTTGGCAGCATCTTTGAAAGAAGCATTAATTTTTGTTTCTTTCCCAGTTGATTTTTAATTGTGTGTATTGCAGAACATGTCATGTGGAATTTGTCTTTGTGAAGTTGTCTGTCACAGAACTGTAAATGTTTATTTTATCTGTGCTGATTGTAATCAAGTGACTGACCCTTGATACTTACCTGCGTTTCCTTACAAGTGTCAACAAATACAATTCCTTTTTTTTATTTGTCCTTGTAAAACCTGATAATTAAACAATTACACTTCAGGCAGAGCAGCAGAAGATTTGGATAATAATGACGGCAGAAACTCTCATGCACAACTTGGTGGGTCTTTTCAGAGGAGCTATGTCATGCTAAATTATCTCTATGTATTGATGAGCAGTACGCTGCCAAGGATGAATAAAACACTGAGCATAAAGGTCAGCTCTAATAGAAGAACTTACGAACATATTCTGTTAAATCCCACTGCCTCTGTCTGTCTGCTGCCCCTGCTAAATCAAATTCTCCATTAAGTTAGTAGTTCTGATAGGTACCTGCTGAGCTGCAGAAATCTGTACGGAAAAAGAGCTTCCCATTTCAATTTGTTTCTGCCACCTTGTTTACAGTACTTTAATTGCTTGTGGAAGCACTCAATGGATAAGCTTTGTACTGCACTGAGTATGTAAAAATAGGGGTTTGATTCAAGAGGTAAATGGGGTGCCTGGGTCCGTGACATAGAAGAAATGGAGTGCTTTAAAAGGTGCTTGGTATCGATTTCGTTTTGATCCCTTGTCTGAGAAAGAATGGCTAAAAACAGTGTTAATGTTTTCTGATAGCTGAATTTCAGAGTGGAGAACCAGATCTTTATCGTGAAGCTGCATCAAAAGCAGTTTGTGAATCTTGGGCTGTGGCACTGGGAGAGGCGGCAAACGCAAAGCTTGAGGAATAAAATTCATCAGCTCTGGAGGTTGATCATGGAGATCAAAGAGGAGAGAACGTCAGATGAAGCACAGCAATTTCTCCCTTCATCACAAATAGACAGTCTAGGAGAGCCACGGCTTACGAGTAAGTGTATATTCTCATTTTATTGAGTGGTACGGTAAAAATGCACCAGAATTTGTAGTAGTACAGGTAATGTCTCAAACAGTGTACATAATGCTGTTTAATTTGTTGGTTGACAAGGTGCAGTTGTAGAAGGAGCAAACTGATAAAGGTTATCTTTAACTGTCATTACCTGTTACATTTTCAGTTATTCAGATAATCTTCACAGAAACAAATAAGTAGTTACTATGTTTCTGGTATTTTTCTCTGATATATTTTCTTCATTAAAGTTAAATTCTGTTCTTCTGTCTGATGTGAACACGTGGGCTTGTTGTACGACATAATCTGGTAATTTTGATAACTCTAAGTAAGCTTTAGTGATCTTTAAATTGGAGTCAGAAGTGATATAAAAGCACTTTGGGGTTTGAAAGCATCTAGCCGTATTTTGAGCCATTTTTGATTCACGGTGCCTGAACCATGTTGTACTGCTATGTGCTGGATTTCAGTTGTATCAAGTGACTGATCAACCAATTAAGTTTGTATCCAGCGTAGTGATAAAAATGTTCATATGTGCTAGTGATGAAGTTGAACTCTGAAAAATTTGTTATCAGATATTTTAATGCAATTCTATTTTAAAATAAATACAGGATCTTATTTGTTATTTCTTACCGACCAAGGCCTTTCTACACTTTGCAGCTTTAATTTTTTGTGCAAAGGCGTGAACGATTAGTTGTATTAGTGATAACTGTGTGACGCAAGACCTATTCTACAATGTTGTTATCATTTTATGTTCAAAATTGCAGCAATATCCTCCCTTACATTTTATATAACATCCTGGTTCTTCCAAATCTGACCAATTTGTCCAGTATTTGTGAATGCAACATATGATCCTTTGATGATGACAGTGAGACAATACACAAATGTCTATGTAAGACAATTTCATTTCTACGAGTCCAATCAATGCTGTAGTTATGATCCAATTACTTCCTGCGGAGGGTGAACAACCAAATGTAATTTAACCATCCTCCGAAGGAAAAAATCACCTTTACAAAGAAATGTTATCTTTTTTTTCTTTCTTTTTTTTTTTTTTTTGGACAAATACTTCATGCAAAGATAACTTTCACTGAGGTTGTTAATATGAAGTGTAACTCCACTCAGCGTGGCAGGTATTTGGTGTGGCATGAGTTAGGCATGTGAAACTTTTAGACTATTAAAAAAAAAAAGTGCAACACAAACACAACCACACATAGGCAAAAAAGGCAGATATGTAAATCAAATTATTTCTAACTATTTTTTACTTTTTTCTCAACTTTAAAAGGTATTCAGAGAATTGCAAATGAGCCAAAGCTGGAGTTCAGTCTTGGTAAGATAGAGTTTTGTCGTCTTGGAGTTGCAGTGTGTGCCTGTATGCATGTGTGAAGAATTTGTGTGTGTAATGTTACATAGTATTACATGTAATCTGTAGAAAAATAAGTAAATAAAAGAGCTGTACTTCACTTAGGAGATCTGCCTGTGCATGTGCCTTCAAAATCCTGGCTTTATATTCTTAATTCATCGAAATATCTGAATATGTATATAAGGTTGTCCCGTTCCACCTGACAGTTACGACATTCTCTATTTGTCCTTTGTATTTCACCCCTCCCTCCCACTCTCGCATAATGCATTATGTCAGCTTGGCTTGCAAGCTTACAGTATTCACTATATTAAACCATCTGTATTCTTTAAAAAAAAAAAAAATATTAAAAAATGAAGTAATCTATCCTTCTATCCATATAGGGTAGGAGTTGTCTTAATTTGCATTGCCTCATTCTGTCACAATCTTAAAATATCAGTCTGTGCTAATTGTATCACTGAATATGCAAGGCTCAAAAAATCCTCAGTAGTGGAAGTTGGGAAGCTATTCAACTAGTGTTCTGGCTGCTTCTTGCTATTTGAAAAATTTGCCTTGTATGCCATTTGCATTACGTAACAAAAAAATACAAATATTATATAAGGAGAACGATCGCTTTCTTATATAATATAGAAAATATTTTGTACTTGAATTTTTTCTGTTGACAAATTTGAGTTCTCTCTGTATATTAGAGAGATGTACGTAGAATCTAAGTAGAGAAATAAACATAAGTGGATATCTATTCTCTGTATGACAATGTCTTGTTTGTCAACCCATTATATAGCAATATAGCATGAGTCATTTTTGCTGCGTTATCGACTTAGTTTTTATGTTTGTAAGAGGTAATTGTTCACAGAAGTGGTCATGGAGATGCTTGCAGTTTGTTGGCATGCCTTGCTTCTTAATGATGAGCAGTAAACACGTAGGGCATGGGTAAATTTAATTTCTGTGCATGTTATAAAGATTGAAGTTCTGTTTAGCACCTTGCTATGTGACTGTTAATCACCATGGTGAGCTTAAGTGCAGTTATATTTATTTGCCTTGAGAAGTTGGTCAGAGTATGTGATGAACCAGGAACACTGGGTTGAACATGATGATGCAGCATGCTCCAGAATGATGGGAAACAGCTAACTTCCTAATATGAGTCATTTAAACGATGAGGATGTTTCAGGTAGTATTCTTCATCTCTGCATAATGTAAATCTGTTTTGTTTCTGGACACTTTTGCTTTCAAGCATTTTTGTTCCCTTGATCTACCAGGGAAAAGTAGATGACAATCTTGCAAATAACTATGTGTACCAATAAGGGCTGTGGCTAAAAAAAAAAACATTTTCTTTTAAATCAGAATAAAGGTTATGACTGTTTTGATATAAATGCGTCTAGAGACTAATTTTGAATAGCTGTGGCTAAACCATTTGGAAGTTGTACATACCTGAATTTGAGAAGCTATTTAACACTTGGAAGGTTTTTATGAAACATAACCATTTTGAGAGACAGGATTTAATCAACTTAGTTCTCAAGTGATGCAGCAGATAATGGGGTAAACTTCTGTTAGGAATGTTCGAATTCTGAAATGAATCAAATCAATGCGTTCATACGGCCATGGGAAAATGAAGCTAATAGTATTCCCTTTTGAAATCTTAAAATAGCTAGTCTTTTCAGTAAACTCCATTTCTTCTTGATACTGAAAGTAGTGATTTTTGGTTTACCTCATGCTTTTTTTGTTGGCTTCATAAATGACGGTTCCTGTTTTTTCAGATTCTTTTCTATCTATAATTTCAAAGGGGAAGTTTTGTGTATCTGTTGAAAGATGTGAAGTTTTCTGGGAGGTTGAGTATGAACTCAGTCCCTGATGAGGATGATGGTTAGCTGACTAACTACAGGAGATCAGTCTAAGCATGGGTTAATCTACCCTAATTGTTACTGATGAGGGTACTCACCCTGCTTTGCCTGAACCGATTCCAAATCCTGAGCTAGAATACTCAAAGCAATCAGAAACCTTAATGGTAATTTATAAGTGTTACTGAGAGTTAGTTGGAGGAAGAATTTCAGAGTTACTGAAGAATTTGTTGATATAGGTAGTTATTTGAGTATGTCAAAACTGATTGTGTCGTTACTTAGGTATTAAAAAAGAAAAACACCAAAAAAACCCACCAATGCAGTAGCAACCTTAATTGGTTACTTATTTTTATGAGCTTAATACTTGCTTTTGGAAGTATTAGGCATTTCAGTGAACATAATGTAAACTTTTAAATTATTCTGACATAACTGAAAACTTGTGTTTCCAGGGTATTTTAAAACTAGTTCATTGGGATGTAGAATTAAGGATCATTAAACTTAAAGAGAAGTTATTTTCAGCACACGCACCACTGCTCTTTTTTGCTCATTATTTTTATCTTCCTGCCTTTTCTCCAAAATACATCACCTACTTTGCATATTTCCTTCTGGTTTTTTTTTTTGCCTGTGTACTCGTTCAATTCAGTTTTTGAACCCCATTCTCTGAAGTGACTCTTCAATAGTGACTTTGATGTAGACCTCTTACATCTCATGAATTGAGCCTTGATTTTCGAGGGTGGGGGCGTGCACATGTGTGGCCTATTACACCTTTAATCTTTCAGCTGCCAGAATGATGGAATAGCATGAGTGGGAAAGACGTGTATGATTGAATGACTGAGCTGCAGAGGGAAGATGATGTTTTACCTTACCTAGAGAGTTCTCTAGTGAAAGAACGTTTGTGACGACATCTTTCTGGACGAGGCGGGCAGTCAGTCCATTCTCCCCTTGCACGACCAACAAAGCTGCAGGTACAGCTCTTACATGACCTGATGGCCTTGTGCTTAACTGATACACAGTGAATGATACGACCGCAAGCGATTTGTTTGTGGTTCTAGGAAGCTTGTCTGGATGAAGGGGACTCTTACTGAGAATCATTTGTTTGGCAGATGTTTATACACAGAGAGCAACAAGCCAGTTCAAGCTAAAGTATTCCTTTGTTCTTACAGAAATCTCAGTAAGGCTCCCTTAACTACAACAAGTTTTAGATGATATCGTGGCACTGCTGTTGTCTTCCAGCCTTTACCTATTTCCCAGGAACCTGACTTTTTGTCTAGGAAAATAACTGATTTTTTTTAAAACATGCTGTCTTTGTCAAACAGACTGAGTAGACCTAAAGTGTCTGCAGAATATTTTCAGTTGAACATGTTAATCTAGTCCATAGTGTGTGTATTACTAAGAATAAGCTTCAATAAGTTCTATAAAAATATTTTTTCACCTGTTAAAAGGGCTGTTTTCAACAAACAAGAAAATCTCTTAATGTTGCTTTAAATTTTAACTTCTGTATAACAAGTAGTAGTATATACAGCAAAGATGACTTAAGGGTCTTTTTTGTGTGTGTGTTTTAGTAGCTGAAGTGTTAGTTTTTCCAGCTGTCCCATACCCCATATGGTTTAGAAAGGTCTGCTGCGCAGGTGTAAGAATAGATTTTATGTTAGAATAATTGGACAAAGTCATTTAGGAAGCGAAAAGTAGCATTTATGATTAAGGAACTTGGAGCATATGAGGAGAGGCTGAAAGAAAGAGCTAGGACCCTTGTTAAGCATGGCAAAATTATACACAGTTGATAATGTGTATCAATACCTGGAGGGAGACAGGGAGGCAGTGAGGATGAGGAGCTGGATTCTTCTCAGTTACACTCTGTGAAAGTGTAATAGACAATAGATGCAAGTTAAGGTATTTGAAATTCTATCAGAACACAGAAATAGTCCAGAGAGACTGCTGAGTCTCCATCCTTCGAGATGAATAAATTCAACAGAGTACTGGGAACGCAACAGAGCTCACTGGGATCTGGCAGAGGGGTTGGGATTCAGTTGGACATGTCCTTTACGACCAAAATCTTCCTGGATTATGTGTGACAGGGATTTGCCTTGTAATTTGACAATAAGTTTTCTGGTCCCCTTTAGAGCCTACTGTTAGTGACTGGCTTGTTACTGAAGCTTAAAAAATGTTCCGTAGCGTACATCAATAATGAAGTTTTTGTTGGCTTGATCTAGAAATCCTTTGGGATCTCAAAATGATCTCTTACTGTGTTGAAATTAGTACTCTTAAAATTGTTGCCATCTGTCTGAACTAAAGCAGTTTTAAGGAACTTCTCTTATTAAATGTTTGATGGTGTGCTTAGCATGATTCAGGTAAAGATGCTCGTGATCTCAGCATGAATCGTTTCTTGGGCAAGGCGCAAGTTGGAAGCAGACAGAGGTGAGCAAAATTGAAAAATCAATTTTGATTGCCTGAAATAATATCTGATTAGTGCATTTCTAATGTTTCTTCTGCACATTTGCACATGAAGGTTGATTTATTTCTGTATATTCGTAGGGCAGACTTAAGAACACAAATGCTTATAAAATGTAAACGTAGAGCAGAAAATGGTTCCTGAATAGCACTGGCCGAAAGTAAAATTCAAATGGACCCTTTTCATCCTGAGTTAAAACTTTCCCCTTTTTCTGCTGTGAAAGAGTTAAGGATGAGCTTGGCTGAGAGACAAGCTGAGGTTGACAGTTTAATTATTAGTGCGCTTGACCATGTGGGTGGGTCTGGGTTCTGAAGTCTGATTGAAGGATGATGACTGTATCCTTGTTCCCATTTCAGTGACAATTTTAATGTGAAATATAGAAATTACCTTACATATTTTTTTTTGTCCCCTCTATCCCTGCGGCTAGTAACTCTTCACCTTTTTTGAGGTGCAGGGCTTTCTTTTTGATGCTTGATCAAGGTGAGATGATTTCAAGAGGGTGATTTGAATGTCTGCTTGTATGCATTTAGTGACTTTGTGTTTTGTAGCTGCTAAGCTAGTGATGAACAGAGTGATAAACCTGGATCCAACCGCATCTGACCTTTTTCTGGTCCAGTGCTTAACTGAATTCTAAGGGGTACTGGCATCATTTCTCCTTCAGCCTTCCCGCTGGGTCTGTTGTGAAG